AATTTTTATTTTAACTGAAAATTAAAAAAGGGGGGAGGGGAGGAGGAGACAGGGCAAGCCCGCTCCCTGCACCCGCCCGTTGCCATCTCTACACAAGATCATGTAAAACCTCTATAAAATAATAATGTTAGGAACGAAAAATTTATTAATTTAGACGGATTATTAATTTATAGAGTATTTTATATCTTGTATTATATTTTTACCATAATAAATGTAGGAAATTTTCTTTTTAAGAAAATATTGAATGTGGTAAAATTCAAATTTTAGCACTTGTTTGAGCTCCATTATAATAAATTAATTTTAGAATAACGTTTTTTGAAGAATGTGTAGTTAAAAAGTAAGGATAATTTTTTGATTTACATGTAATATTATTTTATTGAGAACTTTGTAGTTGATAAAAGGAGAGAAAGAAAAATGAATTAAAATTTAATAGGGGCAAACAAGAGCTTAATCTATAAGCACATAAAAAGGCACAAACATACATATTAAAGAGGTAACGTTAATGTATATGCATTAGCTTCAAAGTTTGATATCTTGAAAAATTAATCATTCAAGTTATTTCATGTACACATGGAACATAATTTCTACGGTCATTAGTTTTAACTTAAGATCCCTAATCATTCCAAATTTCATACATTTTTCTACCATGGCGTCTCATTTGAAATGAATTAAAAAATCTACATTGACTGATGAGATGAGGAGAGCATTGTGTGAATATAAAAACGAATATCCGTCTTCTAGTAAAAAAGATTTGCAATAGTGGATTCAAGAAAATATTCATCTCTCCATTAGCCAATGAACAATATTTAACACTTTCAAGAGGTGGACAGAATATTCGTCGAAGGAAATGAAAAATAGCAATGTTAAGAGGCACAAATCAGCAAAATATCCCAGAGTTAGAAAATGTATTGTACGAGTAATTTCTCCAATATCAAGAGAAAGTAAATATGACTAAAGAAATTATCCAGATGAAAGCAATAGAGTTTTTGTTCAAAATGTATGGTGAAAGCAATCCAGAACTAATGGCTTGTTTGAGCCCCATTTTTTCAAAAAATGCATTTTGTAATAGTGGTATGACGGATAATGCGTGGTTAAAAATAAGAAAAAATTTTAAATTTGCGTATGATATTATTTTATAGAAGAACGTGTGGTTGAATGGTGTCAAATTACTGTTCGAAAATATATTTTGATGAAAACAATGTGGCTCAAACAAGGGCTTAATTTCTCAAGTGGTTGGCTAGAAATGTTCAAATCAAGACACGGGATTAAATCTTACAGATGATTTGGTAAAAATGGTTCAATTGCCCTGGAGAACATCAAAAATGCTTTACCTGGAATACGAGCCAAACTACACCAACTCCAAGGGAATTATATATATAATATGAATGAAATAGGGTTATTTTATCATTTAGTAGTAGATCATTCACTTGCTAAGATACAATTGAAAGGACACGAGAAGGACAATGAGAGAATTACTATTGTTGTTTTTTGCAATGGTGACGGTTCAAACAAATTAATCTTTTTGGGTTATTGGTAAATTTGTGAACCCTGGATATTTTTAAAATGTGAATATAAACAATCTTAATTGTCATTATCGTGCAAATTGGAAAACATGGACGAGTGATTTAGGGTGTTCTCTTTACAATTTTCAAGCCGTTTTCTGTTTTCAATTTTCCAAAACAGTGAAAACGCGTTTTCTTTCCTATTTTTGAAAAGTTGTTTTTGAAAACAAGTTAAACATTTACAAAGAAAACCAAAAACGAAAATTTGTCGTTTCGAGTGTTTTCAGTTATAATCAAGCTAAAATTTTTAAAACACGTTTTGGGTGTTTTCAAAACAATTTTTCAAAATGTCAAAAAGAACACATTTTCAATAATCTCAAAATGAACACTCAAAACACAAAACTTAAAATGAATTCAAAACTCAAAACACAAAACTGAAACATAAAGACAACGGCCTCTACTTTTTCAAAAATTTGTTTGCTGGTTTGACAAGAGCATGAATGGTAGAAGGGTCTCTGCTTATTGTGGACAATTGCCCAATACATCCAAGGGTGATTGAAGGTTTGAGAAATGTTGAATTATTTTTCATGCCTCCAAAACGATCATCAAAGATTCAATCATGTGATGCTGAAATTATTTGAGCGCTAAAAATTCATTATCGACGTTACTTTTATTCTTACATCTTGGAAGGCTACGAGCTAGGAGCAACAAACCTGAAAAAAATAAACATATTGAATGCTATCAATTTTATTAATGCAACTTGGAACATTGATGTGAAGACAACTATTGCAAATTGTTTTTGGCATTGCAAGATTCGATCGAATGAAGATATTAACGTTGAACCAAAAATTAGTATGAAGAAATCAAATGATCGAATGAATCTATTTCTGGTCTATGCTATAGAAATGTAATGGATGCCAAGTACATTTTAAGCTATCCTAGTGAAAAAGACACTATGATTTAATCTCCTACTAATGAAGATATTATTTTGAAAAGGATGCAAATTGAAAATAATATTGTCAAATGAAAAGTTTGTTAATTTGTGTTAATATAAATTTTTATAAATTTAAACAGCTATTAATCTCAGTAAAAAAAATAAAGAATTATTATCTTTTACATTTAATGGGGTTATTAATTTAATATACTGACATCCAAAGAATTTTATTACTTAAGCAAAATTATTAATTTATCGAAGTTCTACGGCAACAGTAACTCCATTTTTTGAGAGCATAGATTTTATAATATTGATTTTTTTGGAGAATGCAATTTAAATAGAAAAAAAATAAAATTGGATTTACATATAAAATCATTTTATTGAAAAATGTGTATTTAAAAATAAGTTTGAGAAAAACTAGATTTTTTAAAATGATACTCAATTAGTATATGTATAATCCAAAACATATAAAATGACCCAAATTCAAGGTAACTTGTACTTGCATGAGAATCAGGAAAGAAAAGAGAAACTAACATGCACTATTTACAGTCAAAATTGTCTTTTCCATCTAACTAAACTAAGATTACCTTCTACTTGGTCCCCAACATAAACAATAAATCACCTGCTAACAGTCTATTAACAAAACTTCTGCCAATCATACAATCACCAAATAAACGAATGTCAGCACAGAAGGTAAGTATTCACTTGGTGCATGCTTGGTACAGCTGAACTCGACCAAACTCGGTAGTATAAATTTTGTCCAGTGTTATCAAATCCTCCTTGCCCAACATGTCATTGAAGGGTTATAGCAAATATGAATCAAGACGGTACCAGATCTTCATAATTCACCTGAAATGATAAACCCACCTATATTCTGCCAGTCCTTTTAGCATCAAGAACACAACCCCTTGTATATAATTTTCCTCTTGCTTCATCTCCTATTTAATCATTACAGATTCAACGTTTCTCCTAAAGAAAATCCAAACTGCTTATAAATCTCATACATTTCCTTGAATGATCCGCTTCAAACCTCTCATTCTCATTCACCCTTCTCGTCATTAAGATGGCAATAACAGTTCCCTTCCTTTGCTATATTTTCATCTTGACATAATTTGCGTCATTATAGCCAACAAATCTCTCCTCGTCTTTTTCCCAATTTAACCATCGTATAATTTACATGGTCTTTCCTGTTTAACTCATCACAGTTTTAACCATTCCTATGAACTCCGACCTGTAGGTTGTAACCTAACATGTTCATGTGCTTTCAAAGCCTCAGAAGTGAAATTCTCCAAAGCCTTAAAGATAGGAACCAAACCTCCTTGTAAACTGCTAGAAGCCGCATCATGCACCAATTTGATAGCATCCTTGTGCTTTATTCTCTCATCAGCCACTCGTTGCCTCATAGAATCTAAATCAACCTTCAGATCATCCGATGGCAAAACTCCATTTTCTGATGGAACCATAGACAAACTTGTTTTGTCTGATTTCGTGTGGTGTTCAAGCTCCATTCGTCCCCTCTCTGTCCTGTGTGTTCTAAGTTGTTTCTCAAAATCCTTCGAAACAAAATCTGCTTTGAGCCTTTGACGCTGCTCTTCGTTTTGTTTTTCCCATAGTTGTCGCAAGCTTGAAGCGAACGTATTCATCGTATTTGCCACCCGCACCTCAGATATGGCTTCCATGGCTTGGTTCCAATCATTACAAATTACAAAAATGGGAGGAGCTCCAAGCCGACCTGGGGAATAGGGAACCGGGCCATCAGGGGTCTCTTCGGGCTCATATTGAAGACACCGCAGAAGCCAGCCGTTTAAGGATTCAACATAAGACTTTTGAGTGCCAATCCAATCATTAAAGCGCTCACACCATTCTCGAAGCTCCATCTCAAGTTCAGCGGTGGCTCTTAAATTTGAATCTGTTCGGAAACCAGTATTGGCTCTGAGCCTCCGTAATTTACTCTCCATGATAGCTTGAAACTGCTTCTGATGACACCTGAGCATCGACTTCCACATTCTAATCAGCCTACATATTACAATATACCAATTAAATAAAACTGAAAGAGCAAGCACCCTACATAATATTTAATGCAGGAAAGGATCATCATATCACTTTAATAATTAAGGAAAGAAGATCAAATAAAAATGTTATCCTATAATAAGGTAGGAGTATAAGTCGAGCTCAGTTGCGGTTTCTGGTGGGGTTCGGGGAGAAGAAACTTTAAATCACCATGACATGCTATGGATGCTAAGACATTGCCATCACTCTTCAACTCTAATTGGAAATAAAAATAAACAAAGAAAAATGACAGAATATGATGGGAGAATATCGGGTTCTCAGCAGCAGACGTCATCAAAAGCATCTGCAATTATTCATAAGCTCAATGAGCCAGTAATTGGAAGAGAACCTTCCAAATTTCCAAATTATTCTTTAATATAACACAAAACAATAAACAAGTGGATGTCAAAAGTGTCAGTTAAAACAGTATCCATAATAGTTAGAAAAATTATTACAATACCTGGACTACAAAATGGTTTTAAAACATGTGTTGATAGATTCATCTATCCTACGATCCTTAGCCAGTGTCGCCTGAGACTAGTGGCAGCAACGAGCTGAGCTGGCACAGGACTCGGTATAGGCTTGTTAAAAAAAGGCTCGAACTTTTTGGGCTCGAGCCTAGCCCGGGCTTGGCTCGTCCCCAAAAAATGGAGCTTGGCCTGAACCTTTGGCGACAGGGGCGGACACAGACATTTTGAGTTGGGGGGCACAATCAAGCACTATACAGATCAAATACTTTGTTCTTGATTTTTGAATGATTCATACTTAACTCGAGATAATGCTAATTTACATTTAAAAATCGTTCATTCATTAATATTTTGTTTATCATTTTCATCCATTTGATTTTTAAAAGTCATTTTATTAATATTGTGCTCATCACAAGAAAATGTATATTTACATTTAAAGAATTTATAATGTATTTGATACAAACAATCAATTAAAATCATTTATTCAAGCCCCATTTTTGGAGACAAGCAAAGCCCGGGCTCGAGTCTAGCCCAAAAAGCTCAAGCCTTTTTATACGAGCCAATACCAAGCCCCGAGCTTAGGTTAGCGAGCCGGATAGGATCGTTACCATCACTAACAAAGCTGTTGTTTCTTAGCTAAGAAGCACTCTCACAAAGGCTATGAATTAGTTCTCGACACCAAGACTCCTAGAAACTTGTCTAAAAATCCATTGGCCAAGTAAAAAATTTAAGATTAAAGTCAAATTCTGGATACATTTAGATAATCCTCGAGAAACACTTCTTGAACAAGATCAGACACTTTGTTACTTGGAACTCTATGGTCAAGGAAAGCTGAACATAACTGGAAAGAGCAGAGAATTATCTCTATTAATTTTCAAACTACGTTTTTTTTCACATGCAATTGCACTACCAAGACATGTATCTTTTAAAATAATATTACATGTATATGCTTAATTGATAGGCACACTCCAATACACTTGCATCAAGTCATTAGCGATTAAAGATAGGAATTGAATATGTCTAAGAAGATTAGATAGGAGATAAGAGATTGATTTAAATTATATTTCAGTAGTTTTTTTTTTTATCATTTTAACAGCTGTTATTTACTAGAAGTTTTTTTTAGATTTAAGTTCTTTAATAAATAGGACATAGGATTTCATTGTCCGGAGACTTATTGATTGTTGATATTGAATACAGATGTCTTCCTCTCTTCTCAATTCCTGTCTCTCCTCTCTATCCCTTTCTGTGTTCCGTCCTGCATCAGTTACATCTACTCCAACTTCGATTAAGCATATGATTGGCAAGTGTTTATAAACAGGTGTATTTATACACAAATAGAAATGAGTGGTGAATAAGCGAGTAGTACTTGTGGGTTCCAGAAATGTGGATAAAAACTAAAAAGTGATTTATAAACATGTGTATAAACACTGTCCAAACATATGCTAAATTGTATTGGATAATCAGTATGAACAGCCTCAGATGCAAGCTCAGGTCTAGAACCCAAGAAAACCCACGACTAAAACCAAGAAAGCAGATTTCACACATCAAAGTTGTACACATGATCATGTCATGTCAACAAATCCGGCCGATAAAAAGAAAAAGAGAACTTACAGTTTTCCAACTCCAACATTCATGAAACATCATGTTCAGTCTGCTATGCTTAGGCTCCAGTTTTGAAGGGAAGGGAACAAGAGTTTATGAGAGAAATAAAAGGAAATCCATATTCCCTTCCCTTCTTATCCCTTCTTTACCAAATAGCCAGAGAATTACTGTCTTTTGTTCTTAATTTTTCCTTTGATGTTTTGTTATTACTTATTCCCCGACTTCGTTCGTGGCAAATGGCAACCAATTTGCCTTTTCCTAATTAACGGCTAATAATGGCATGCACACCTCAATCAACAGCAGTGTTTTTACATTCAATAATTGTACATATGTGCATACAAATACAATTATATATATGGAAGAAAATGGTCGTGATTGTGGATATGCACAAGCCACCTTTAGTCATGAGCATTTTGTATAACAGATTTAAACAATCAATTCAATCAGCAGCTATCACGGCATGTGCATGACAATCAACAGCAATGTTACAAATCCAATTATTGTATAGAAGAAATTACAATTATATATATGGAAGAAAATGGTCATACTTGTGGATATGGACAAGCCACCTTTAGTTCTGATCATTTTGTATAACAGACTCAACAATCAATGTACTCAGTTGAATACCAAAACACTAAACAATTTCAACAATGCCGTTCATTCATTTATATAGATAATAGAAGGGGAACGATAAAATAGTACTGAGGGAGAGACGGAATAAGCAAGTCTACTGACTGCTCCATTCATGTTTTATGGGGTCAACAAATCTAGAATGTCTAATAAAAAACATCATATCAGGGAGCATGTACTTACCCATGAATTAATTCAGTAATTTGGGGTTGCAACTCTTTATCCCTCAACTCATGTATCCTGCTCGAAATTGCATCAATTGCTTTAATGCTAACCTTGAGCCTAGTTAGTGATCTTCTGATCGCAGCTTGAGTAGCTTCAATCTTACCAGAATCAGCTCCTTTCTCATCTAAACCTTTTAATCTCTTGCATTGCTTTTCATACATCACGCGCAGTTTTTCTTCTTCCTGATCAAAGTAACCACCTATCAAGACTGAGAAAGATTGAATACCTAGATAACTCTGACAAAGAATCTTGATTCAGACTTGACATGATCATTATTAAAAGAACAAGAAAAAGGGGAAATTTCAGGTAAGGTTTCAACACATGCATCATGCAGAAAGCTCACTTCACACCCTCAGAATTCGAGACAAGCAGCCTCTAGCCAGCTCACAAAAGAATAAATTATAATTTGTGAAAACCAAGATACGTCGAGCATTTCTACAATCTACCCTTACCCAAAAAATTCTAAATATGTGAAGTATTTCAGAATCTGCAAATGACACATCGCAAGCTCCTAATATCCTAAAGCATGTGTAGTCGGCGGACTGGGACACAAATAATATTATTTTTGTTAGAAAAAGATCTTTTTCGGAACAAAAAAAAAAAAAACTGACTGTGACAAGTTTCTTTCCTGATAAAGGTCTATCAGTACTTTGGAACTGTTTTAGGTACATTTCTAATGCTATGCGATTTCATATTTGTTAAATTTTGTATTACATGACAATTTGAAAAGTTCAAATGATATAAATGTTGTAATCGTTGCAGTAACAATATTTTAGCATCAAGAAATCAGAAAACCAGTTCAAATGATTCCTTCCATTAGACACAGCATTTCAAACTCACAATCTAACTTGGGTCTCACAATATATTTGGTTTTTAGTCACATAAATTTTCTCCTGGGATGGAGATTTAGCTCTAGCTCAAGGACAATACATATGGGTAATTCAAACTAATATTGTGCATAACGATCAACAGTCCCTGCTCTTTCAACTACTTGCATGGTATTTCACATCTGAAGCACAAGACCATCAATTCAAGTGCAAAATGAAATGTACAGATGAGAAACCATGAACACCAGACTTTTCAACATAATCTATTATATGAGAGGAAATGACAAAAACCAAGAGAAATGAAAAGGGAACAAGGTGTGGTTAGACTCGTAAAATATTAAGCTATATTACCTTTACTTCCTTGTACAGTTTTTCTTCCCATGCATACAGCTTGTCCAGTGTGGAGGAAAGGTTACATACTTGGGAGTTTGTGTCCATCTCAACATCCCCGAAATAAGACTTCGCCAACTTCGATGTTCTAGAAGCTAAGTTTATTGAATGCATTGATGGAGGATTTGATGACAACAAGGACGGAGCAATAGGGTGCAAAATCCTGGAAAGAATTACTGTGAAAGGATTTGCAAGTTATAAAAAAATCTCAAGGATATGGTAAGAAAATGACTTGTCATTACCTCAGAAGAAAACATCAAATATACCTAGCGATATTATTATTAATAGAATCAAAAGATGCATCAAGGAAACTAAAGGCATGTGGCCACAAAAATGAAGAACCAAATAAAATTTATTAAAAGAAAAAAATAAAAACAAAGGAAGATCACAGAACTATATAAAATGAAAAACGAAGAGGCCAATTTCTAAAGCAAATTAAACTCTAAAGCTATAACAAGCAATATGCACATCTTTTATTTAAGTGTCAATCATATATCCATATTTTGAAGGAAAACAAACTAGGTACTCACATCTATTCCGCAGAGATGTTTTAATAACCGTCATCTAACAAGTAACAACCATAATCTGTTTAGCCATACAACTAGATAATACTAAGTGTACCAACACAGAGAACAATTCGAATAGTCTAAACTATTCACTGGTAGAAATAACACTAAACTACAGGGTATTCCAAGAAAAATCCCACCTTTCAGAAAGCCGGGATGATAAGGCACCTTCCCAACTTCAAGCATCCTTGCCACTTCTTTCCCATAGCTAGAGGCAATCTGGAAGTCATCCCTGATTTCAGCCACAACCTCACGAATATCTCGAGTACCATGACGAGACAATGCAGCTAAGCTACTCAACTTGGAGGAATCAGCTTCATGTTTTGGTGTCTCATCCACCTCAAAACTCACCCTTTTCTTCTTCACAGAACCCTCGTCTACACTCTTTGACACGAGACTTTCTGAACTGCTTTTCTCATCCGTCAAACTAATCGACCCGGTAGCATCACTTTTGGGCGACGGATCTTCCACAAGTGTCCTCTTAGTATATTCCGATGGCACTGATCGTTTAGCACTTTCCTCACTACTCCATGAAGGCACTGATCTAAAACTATCCTCACTATTCATATGCAGTGCCCCTGATCTGGAGCTGCCCTCACTTTTATGCATTGGCCCTGATTTTGAACTACCCTCACTATTTTTATGCAGTGGCACTGATCTAGAACTAGGAGTGCTTGGTTTCGAATTCTTTCTCATTTCTGCACTCACTCTTTTCCCCTTTTGAACCTCTCTATAGACCTCATTTTCTGTTTCTTCCTCCAAATCAGGAATACCCTCCCTCTCTCTCACTTCATTTGAATCCGGGCTGCTAGAAATTGATCCATACCCATATCCACCAGTTGAATAATAACCCTGGTACCCGTCATCGTGCCCGTCAAACAGGTTAAAGAAATCCCATGCCGTGGCCTTGGGCGATGGTGGAGGCGGTGGCTCTTTCGGAGGACTCACTTTCACACCACCATTTCCATAAGGGGCCGGATAGTTCCAATATGAATTCAAGTACCCATTACTCGGCTGCTGGGGTGATGCCGCCTCCTGAACCACTGTTTTCATCTCCGGAGCTGACCTCCTCATGTAATACACATTCGAATTACTGGAATAATATCCCGGCATTGGCTGTGGCTGTGGCATTCTCGGTGGACTCCATAAGTACTGACCCATCGGTTGTTCCATCGGAAAATAAGACGAAGAATAAGGCTGGCCATATGAATTAGACGGTAGTGGGTACGAATACCCATTATTCATCATCTCATGACCGTATCCGTACCCATGCCCATTATATCCACCCTGCGGATTATGAGATGAATCCCCTTGTTCAACACGATGAAAATTATTTTTATCCTCATCATCCTTGTTTGTATGTGTATGTATACGATGATGGTGATGATTCCAATCATCTTCCTCATCATCATCGTCATCCTCATCCGAATCTGACAAATGTATATGAGACTCATCATCCTCATCACCATGGCCATGTAAAACAGACCCACCATTAGAACTCGATTTTCCTGAATTATGAGAAGAACCCTCGTGGTTAATTTTCCTGGATTTCTCCAACGGCGGAAGAACCAAGGAAGGCGAGGACAGAGAGGAGGAAGAAGGGGAGGCAGTAATTAGCTCCTCATCCACGAATTTCTTGAGTGCATCGCCTACTTCCTTGAGGAACTTGAAGTATGAAACATGGGCCGCCGCCAGGGTAAAGCGGTGGTCGGCGGCGGCTCTAATGAGTTCCCTCCGCTCACGGCAGCGGACCACCAGAGGCAAGTCGTCCGCCTTGGACCCACTACAGCCCATGTCACAAAGCAGAGTCTAGGGGTGAAATTTTCTGCAGTTGCATTGTGAATGTACAGAAAAATAAAATCAAAAAGGAGAATTCAAAGCGGTTAGAGAGAGAAGAAATCAGAAAATTCTAGAGAGTGAAAATTTGGCGCTGAATTCGGTCATAATGTAATGGAATCAAAATGGCGGTGGGGCTGAGAAGAATGCAAGGTACAAGCAATGAGGTACAACGACTTGTTTTTGTAAATTCAATTTCGGATTCATACATGGACTTGGTGTGACATGAAGACCTGGAAATCAGGAAATGTAGTATATGGTAAGAGAGAGAGGGTGGAAGAAAATTCAAACCAAATCTGACCGTAGAAATTGAAAGAAGTGAATCTTTGTCGTTGGTTCATTAGGTTTCAAGAAAATCTGTAGTATTTTCTTGATTATCCTCTCTCCATTCTGAATCAGTAGATGAGTATCGTGTGATGTGTGTTTCTTGGGATTTGTTTCGTGTGTGTGTGTCAGTGTGTGTCAAATAAAGAAGTAGATGGGTTGAAAAGTGTGTGTGTGGTGGAGTCGCGGCGGGACGAGAAGAAGAGAGGAAGGGTCTTGATCTTGAAGAGGTTTTATGAGTTTTGATTTGAATTTTGGGGTTTGGCAGTGAAATTTGATTTGTTTTCTTGTGGGGTTTTAGATGAGCACGAGAAGAGAAGGCGTGGGGTGAGGTTGG